GAAGTGGAAGATTGGTAATGGATGGTTACCAAGTGCAAAGCTCCTTTAATAGAGGTAACCAAGAATTTACTGAATGTATATCTTTTGAAGATGGTTTAAGGTGCTTAAAGGCAAAATTTGATGTAATTAAGTTACAAGTTCAAATGGACACCATGATGCATGAAATTGAGCAAGGGAGGAATGTTAATGCTTTCAATTCTTATCATGTGATTTGTGACTTGTGTGGAGGTTATCATGCTATTAATACATGTATGCAAGCACAAAATGTGGATTATTATGATGAATTAGAGCATTACAATCCTTGTTTTGATCAATATAGTGCTAATTGGAGCAATTCTCCTGCTTATGGTTGGAATAATCAATGTACTTATAGTGATAATTCATATTTTTATGATCACCAACCTGAATGTGTCCAATATGAATCAAAACCATTTTGGGAGTTGGCAATAGAAAGAGTAGCTAATGATTCTAAGCCATCTTGGGAGTTAGCTTTAGAAAAGCTAGCAAATGCAACTTCCGACCGTTTTGATAGGATTGAGGAAAGAATAGATGAATTAGCTTCTCACTTTGGTAGAATACATGAGCAATTGAATGTATTGTGTGAAGTTATTTCTTCTAATAATTTGCAAAATGATCCTAGCATGAATCGTGGAAATGTTGTATGTGAAAATGGATTGCATTTGGATGAAAATGATGAATCTCAATTATATTTCAATGAGCAAATATCCATTTCACATGATAATACCTTTGAAACTAACTTTGAGCCTCAAGAGGTGAGTTTTAATGACTCATTTTTCACCCCTCTTGAGGAGTGCATTGAAAGTATAGGTTCTAAGGGTATTGCTGCCCAAGATACTCTCATGACATTTCCTTTGGTAAATTCTCAAGTGGTGCATATTCAAGGTAATATCTATGAAACACTTGGAATAGGTAAGTCACTTCCATTTCTCACATCATTAGTTCATGTGGCTTTTTCTATTAAGTCACCTTACAATGATCCACCAAGGCCTAAAATGGTGGATTATTCGTTAACTAAACCTCCTTGAAAAATGAGGTGATATAGTCAAGCTATTGACTTTAAAGAAGCGCTTATTGGGAGGCAACCCAATGCTTGTTTAAGTTGGTGTTACTTTGGAGTGATTTTATGTTTAAAGTATAAGTTTGAGTTATTTTGTTATTTTTCATTTGTAGGTTTTGGAAAAAGATGCAAAAGTGACCAAATGAGGTGAAAAAGGCGAAGTTTGATCAAAGATCTCAATACCTCAAATTCAGTAATTGTGAATTTTGATGCATTAAAGAGGTTTAGAATGCATGTTTAGATCATTTTACATGTGCGTGAATGATTTATTTTGACATAGAAATGATCTAGGGTGTATTTTGAAGAATTGAGGTCAAACTGAAAATTGCAAAAATTCTGCAATAAGTGCAGATTCAATGGATCCAAGGCCTCGGATCCATATGGATCCAAGGCCTCGGATCCACTTCTGCAATCAGAGAAAAACTTCGAGCTTCTTGATCCGAGCTCGGATCCATATGGATCCGAGGCCTCGGATCCACTTCTGCAATCAGAAAAAATTTGAGCTTCTTGATCCGAGCTCACTTATCATGATCCGACATCGGATCCTTTCAAAAACGACCTCGGATCCTTTCCAAACGAAGCCTCGGACCACTTTTCTTCATTCTTCCCTCTTTTTCCTCCTTCAACTCCACTTTTCTTCTTGTTGGTTGCAAGCTTTTATTCTTAAGAATTGTATTTTTGTTTTTTTTTCAAGGTGCATTAATTGAAGTCTCCATTCTTTCAAGTAAAGTTGGAAATTCATCACTTGGACATGGATTCGGATTGCGCAAGTCATAAGGGGAGTATTTTCTTTTACTCTTTCTTTATTTTCCTTTTCTCACATTGAGGACAATGTGAAGTTTAAGTGTGGGGGAGGAAATATGTGAACTTGCATTCTAATGCTATGTGATGATATTTTGTGGATTTAAATGCTTAGAAATATTGGAATTGTGTTTGAATTATTTGCCATGTGGATAATTTGCCTGAAATTGGGTTTGTTGGCAGGGAGTTTTCTTCCATTTATATGGGGAAACTCCGTCAAAATTTGTCTAACATCTTGTCCAATATGTCACTATGGCCCAAAAGTTCTTCAAATTTTTGCATTTTCATTCAAAAAGGGCTAATTTGTTCCAACTTTAAATGTTTTTATTCTTCCAATTGTTGAAACTTTATGTGTATTTTGGAAGGTTTAGTCCTCATTTAACTTGGAAATAGTTATTATGCAATTAGAATTTTTACATTTTAGAAAGTATATTTGGTAAAGTGAGGAAAATTATGCCTATAATTTTACATGTTTAATGAGATTTCTTCTCTTTACTTAATTTTGCAAGTAAGTGATTGACATAGTTGATAAAAGGTTATACTCCTCCTTTGATTAGTCTTATATATTTTCTAAGAGGGAATATCTATTTATTGTCCTTTAGTTTAAAAAAAAAAAGAAAAGAAAAGAAAGAAAAAATTATTCTACTCCAATGATTTTTGTACCGAGTAACCGGGGGTTGGCATCTACAAATGTCGATTTTCGCGTAAAAAGGTACTTGAATTAAGAATATGCATTGCAACTTGAATAAGTGAAATGTTGAGTAACCGGGAATCTTCACCTAAAAGTGTCGATTTTCGCGTAAAAAGGCATTCTCACTAATTAAGTAAAATTAGTATGAATAAATCCCTCTTAGATGTAAAATTTTGAGAAAAGGATGATTATAGGAGGAGGAAGGCTATAAATCGACTATGTGGGTTGCTTATTTGTGAAATTAGGTTAGGATAAGAGATTAAGTTTAACTTGTTGAATTTAGGGTATAATTATCTTTCCTTTACTTGATATTATGAGTATTTAGTGTAAATTGAATAATTATACAATAATTATTTTCCAAGTCTTGAGGAATTAAATTGGACAAAGTGCATATATTGTTTCACCTCTTGAATCATTGCATTTGATTATGTGTGAATTGCTTGAGGACAAGCAATGATTTAAGTGTGGGGGAGTTTGATAAGTGACTAATTTACGTAATAATTGTATGACATTTTATATTATTTTTAGTCACTTTGGTTATATTATTGGAAGAATATGAATCATTTTGGCTATAATTGGTGAATAAATGTTTTTAAGTGATTAAATGAGGTTTTTATCACTTTTTACTTGGATTTTGTGTATTTTGACAGTTTTGACACATTTTCGTATTTCGGCTATAACTTGAGTTACAATGATCGGATTGGGATGATTCTTGAACCCATTTGAAGATAAGAGATAGATCTACAACTTTGGTGAAGACATCTAAATCCAGTTTGAAGGTTTTCCAGGTCAAAATGCCGAATTACAATAGCAAATTTCTACTGGTCGAAGCTGGAACAGGGTAATGAGCAGGCAAGGGTATTTCAGTCATATCTCAGCCTACACAGATCCAAATGAGGTGATTCTTGATGCATTAGAAAGATAACTCAAAAGGCTATAACTTTTGTGTTTTAGACATGAGCTGGTTCAGCCTCTAACATCAAGAAAAGATTGGTTGAAGTTGGGACAAAAACAGAGCAAGTGATCCACACTCGGATCCACTATTCATCCGAACCCTCGGTTGTTTCTGGGTTAGTGGATCCGAGCTCGGATCCATACGGATCCGAGGTACTGTAGCAGCTCGGATCACTGGTCAGAAAAGGCTGCTCTGTACGCGTAAAACTCAATTTCACCCCCACCAACTCACATGCGATGCTATACATGTGAGAAACATTCCCAACTGTAAAAGGGAGATGTAGGCCTCATTTCTTGACCACCTTTCATCATAAAATAGCCAAATTCATTGCAAAAAGAAAAAAGGGAGTTCATAGCAGAAAAATGGAGAGTGAGCTACGGGAGAAAGCTTGAAGCTGCAGAAATGTAGTTTTTTCATCTCCCTAGTGTTAGTTTAGCTTAGTATAGAGTAGTGTAGCTTTTCCATTCTTGTTTATTATCTAGATTAGGATGAAGATGGAGGATGAAGAAGGCAAGGAAGAAAGCTCATGTGACAAGGGTTGTATTCCTTCCAAACTCTTTATCTTTTGTATTTGATTCCAAGTTTAGTTAATATACAAGTTCTGGATTTTGTGTTCAATATGTGTTTCTAAAGTTTATACCTTGGGTTTGGTTGAACTTTCTATAATTGTTAGTGTTTATTATTTGGTTATTTGACTGCTATGATTTGAGCAAGTTATTTAGCACTTTAGCTCTTGAAATCATGATTAATCTGGTACCATTAATTGTGATTATCTAAGGTGTTGTTTCTGCAATGAAAATTGAGATTTAACACTAGTTCAAGAAGTGCTAAACATAGGGAGTACACTCACGAAAGTAGAGGTGCACTTATGTGGTTTTTAGTGATTCATTTCATGTAATTTCATTGAAGAAATGAACTTGTAGCTAATTTCATAACCATGAAAATAGGTATGAATTAGTTATGAGTATAGTTGATTCACTACGAAAGTAGGTTTCACATGTTTAAGGAAATTACACCATAACTAGCCTAGATGTAGTATTCAATGATCCAAATATAGCACTTGCATGAGTAGTTAGGGATACCACAACCTAAGGAGCTTTTATTTGTTATTTTGTATAATTTCAGTAGGTTAAATTTCTTATAATTCATTGATAGTCTAAATAATAGAGAAGCTTTAGTAGTACCGGTAATTGCAATCTTCCTTGTGGGATCGACCCTTAATACCCTATACTCGCTCACGATTCGTATACTTGCGATAAATCGCGTGTGGGGTATTTAGGAGTTTATAAATGTAAAACTTGATTAGGATGAGCTTAATTGTATATGTATACTCCGCGCACGTCACTTATGAGAATTTTGAAGCAACTATTTTGTATGCAAAAGGTGAATTCAGAAACATATATCACAAATTTTGGAGTCATTGGAATTTTATTGAAATTGCTCACCAATATTTGGCACAAAAAAGATGGATGAGTTTATTTAGAACAATATCTTGCACTTGTCCAAGGATGTGGTTTTGTACGATTCCCTGGCTTTGTCATGTATATTTTCCAGTCATCAATCATCATTTGAAGGCCATGAGCTTTCGTTTCTAGACTTGTACAACAATTTGCATGCATTGTGCAAACTACATTAAGGTCCTTACTCGGCTCGCATATTCCTCCAAAATAGGCTGTGTCCAGAAATCTGATTTTCAACCCAATCTTGCTGATGAAAGGATCAAATTTGATCATATTAAGCACATCCTGATCATGTTTCGATGGATATGCTTCTCTGGATTTGCACCAGAACTTATAAAATTGGATTGTCATGTTATTTGATCTAACATAGATGAAACCACTATTTGGTGAGTTGTTCAAGTCAGTAGAGTTGAACCCAAAATGATCGCATGCAATTTGGAAATCTGCATCTGAATAAAATCTTCGAAATGGATCTCGAAACCACAGTATATCAGCATCCTGAGTTTGAAACAGAAAGAAGAAAGAAATTTAGACATTAATATATGGATTTTTTTTGGGGCATGTTTTTTGGAAACGAATAATACATCTACATATCCTTTGAAGATTTAAACATCAAATCACTTGGTAATGGACGTGTAAATACTATTTTTAGTTTCACATTTATCTATCATCAGAGAAACATGCATAAACAATTTATTCATGATTGTAAAATTTACGCCTTTATCTTGTTTCTTTAGCAGTTACCTTTTTATTTTCCACATTAATATTCCACCAAAAAACGGTAGAGTGCTGTTTTAATGCACTACAAATTATAGTTGAAGTAGTTATTCTAACGTGTAAGAAAAATAAAATACCACCCAAGTTTTCTCAAATGATAATTTCCTTCTTGAGGTTTGGTTAAAAGAACAGACGCTTACGGAGCGGAAAATATTTGCGTAGATCCAATCTGAGACTTCATTTCAAAGAAACTCATTCATAACCTTCATCTTATTTTAATCTTCTATATGTCAAATTGATCATAATATTTCGATCAAAATAATTATGACCCCCAAAGTCTCTTATTGTAGACAAATTTAGGACAACTAATGGAAAATCACCATAACTAACAATTAAAATCAAATTTACGTTAGTCAAAAGTTTTGACTTTACATTTTTGGTCTCTAACGTTTCGATTTTCGATCAATGTGGCTACTTATTTTTCAAATAGTTATAACTAGGATTTAAGATAAAAATAAAAAGTGAATTGAGTTATATATATGATAAATATATTTCCAAACTGCTATAAGAACCCTAAAAGCACTTTGTATCCCTACAAAACTATTTTTATACTAAATAAAATATCATTTTTAAATTAGTTATAATTGAATAAAAATACACAAATAATATATAAACTAAAACCAGTGGAAGAAGAGGATAATTCTAATTTCTATATATAACTATATTGTGGTACTTTTACACAAATTCTTGCATGACTTGTGGAAGTGGGTTTTAAATAGTTGTGGTTATGAATTGTGTTTACAATTACTAGTAAATGCAAGTACTGATATGAAGTGCTTTTAGGGAGTTTGGAAAAGATTTTCTTTTATTTTTTCATGTCTTTAATCTTATCAAAATCTAAAATTCAAAAACTAAAGGTTTAAACTATTTATGTGAATGTTTGCAAACTATAATTTTGGTGTATATTCCATTGATAGTTTTATTGAACAATTCAAGTTTAAACTATCTTCATTTGAAACTTAATTCATAACTTATTGAAATGCAATATGCACATCTAAGATGATCAACTTAACTTACCTATTACATATTTCTCATATTTAAATGGGACATTTAATTTTGTGTTTAATTATCAATATAAGAAAAAAGATCATAAAGCTCATTATTAATGAATTTTTCATAGTGCAATAATAAGTAATAAGTAAGCCATATTTCTAACGCAATCTCAATCTAAGTTGCATCTCATTTCATCCTAAAACCATCAATTTCACTATTAGATACTTAAAAAAGGATAATGATTGAAAATCTAAAAGTTGAGGACAAAAAATGCAAAGTCAAAATTGTTAACTAACTTCAATTTGATTTTGACCCCTAGAGACTGTTGAATTTTTATTAATTGTCCTAAATTTACTTAAATTTCAAAACTTTATAAGCCACATTTATTCTGATTGAAATAATATGGTCCACTTTGCACTTTGAGACACAAGTCAATCTTTAGGGTTAGAATTGCATTTCTTCCTTAAAAAAAAATGGATATCTTCAATTTGGACAGTGTGGATTTCCTTAGAAAACGATTACTTTTCTTTTTTCTCTTTTAGGACATGTTTAAAAGAGACACAAATTATATCTGACAATGTTACACAACATTATCGTCTTGATAATGGATAGTTGTGCACATGCATATAGGATGAACGGGTTTGAATTTAATCTCTCTTTTCTATTTTTGTTAGTACCACAACAAATAAAGGGCTAGTATTTATTTATTTTACCATTTTCAAATTAAGGGTTTTTAAACAACGAAACAATATCCAATCGACGCGCGATCATGTAATTCGTATGCTGCAAGTCATGAAGCTCGGACAAATTTTATTTTCCTTTTTTGAGCTTGGTACACCGTCAACTATAACTAATTAAGCGGGACATAGACAAGTATAATTGATGATTATTCTTCTATTGATCAAATTTCCCGGTAGAAAATGTCTGTGGATGATTGCCACAGCTTCATAAGATAATTGAGATTATTCACATCTGATTACTACACCATTTCTAAGTGTCAAGAAGCATATTATTTGGTGAAATCATTTATGGTTTGCCTAACGGCAACAAGTACCAAATGGGCAATTGTCAAGAGGGGTCTCAAAAAAAAAAATTTTTTTTTTTTTGTAAAATTATAGTTAATTTGAAAAAGTGTCTAAATGTAAAGGGTGAAGTAATTGCGATTGCGTATATTCATGTGTTAATTGTAATTTAGGTGTACTACTGGGTATTAATGGTCACCTGAAAATTCAAATCATTTAATCCTATAAAATCAAGGATAAATTTAAGATATTACCGTGAAAATGAAGCTGTATCCCATCTCAAGAACCGTGCGTTGAAACTCAAGCTTTCTCCACACAATCTTTAGATAATCTTCGCTCATAAAATTTGCCTTACCAGAAAAATCAACCCCCTCCGTGGTTAGTGCAATACAATGCGGGTGTAACTCCAAGCAACGAGTATATGCTTTTTGGTCCATAGCTCCAACAACTAAATGATTCAACAGAGCTTGTGCTTGATTCCCACTTCTGAAACCCTCAAGAAAGAGATCAAAGATTGAATTTGGTGTCGTCCATGCTGCATTTACTGTGGTTATTATAACAGTTTTGGTCACCATGGCTGCTTTGTTCAGAATATTTTCCAACTTGGTTTCTTCATTTTCTTGATTAACCTTCATAATACAGAGCAAAAGAATATAAAAAGACAATTATTGCAGGATGCAGATTAATGCCTACTCAATTCCAGGAAGAGGAAATGAAACTATAGTACTTTAGGAAATTCGATAATGTATTGGTCTAGCTAGTAGTCAATGTTGAAACCTCAACAATTAGAGATTTTGGGTTCGTATGTAACTAATTGCAATTTGATTTTGACTAAGTGTTAGTCTTCATTCTGGCACACGATTTTTAGGCTAAGTAATGATTCGCATATATTAATTCCAGAGTGAGTTAAGTGTAATCATACTACTACAAAAAAGATAGAAAAGAAAAATGTTAAGAGATAATTCTTTCTAGGTGGTTGTGTTTCTTTTTATGGACAAAGGGATGAAAATTTATGGGCAAAAAATTAATTAATTTCAAAATTGAAGCCCTAAAACGTATTTAGTAGTGCTGGACATACCGAATTTAGTCAAAAGAAAGAAAAATATTGTTGATAACAAGAAATTCAGTCAAAGAAACTTATTTAATCTGGTCAAATTTTGGAATGTATAATGATAATTTTGACCTGAAACGAATACTCGTATCGTTTGTGATTTAGGACTAAAGTAAGTAGATTTGTAGTCTATGATATTTGTACGCGATAAAAATTTCAAGTCTGCAAAACGACAAGAAAAAGAGATACACGACAAATATGTAATATATAAATTTAGAAAAATATGTAGGTACAATCTCTGGAAGTTTTCTCGAACTTGTGGAGAGTTTCCCTCGATTCTTCTCCTCGAACGCCAATCCAAGGGCTTCGCAGCTTGTTCTTGGATCCACCACCGATTCCTTCAAATCTTGATATAGAAGATTTGAAGAACTTTAGAAGATATTTGAAGACTCAAGTCTTGATATTTGGGAGATTTGGAGAGCTTGAAGAGCCGAACCTTTGTAACTTGGAGTTTCAATGCTTTGAGCGTATATGATGCTCTTTGAAGTCCCTCTGTGTATTTGTTTTTTTTTTTTGTGTCCTTGATTTGGTTGAGAGACCTCTATTTATAACTGTAGCAAGGGGTAGAGGTTGAAGACCTGTGTACCACTTTACTTGTCTTGCAAGACGTGCAATCATATTAGGACTGTGCTAGCCAAATATTATCTCTTTATTTTATATTTATTAATAAAGAGATAAGTAATTCCTCGATTGGCCAAACTCGTGGGGACACGTGACGTGGCGCCATTTTACTGGCCAGGCCATTGCAGTATATAAGAGATATACTTGGATTAAACAATTCTAAATATTATCCCTTTAATAAGAAATAAATATTTAGATATTTATCCAATAAATACATGATATGATATGATTTGGTTGGTGGAGATACCCCTGCAATTTGAATTGATTTGGAACACCTCACCTTGACACGTGGCAAAATATAATTGGCTGCTTAATAACCAAATTTTCCAAGTGTACATGACATATGGCAATATCCGATTGGACAAAAATATTTTAATAGAGCAATGGTAATTTTTAGAATTTAATTAAAATTCCATTGTCTACAAATGCCCCCTCGAAACTTGTCTGTGAAAAGTAAAACTTGAACGGACAAGTTTTGACTTTCCTTAATTTCCCTAAGTTCCTTTCTTGCCAAATTGGAATTCGAAACTTTGTGAATCAAGTCACCTAAATAGGAAGCCAGCCGCATAAGTGATTAATCAATGACCAAATAGGCACAAAGACTTCAATGACCAAATAGGCACATAAGTGATTAATCAAACTTCATAGAATTCAATTTCGTGAGTGATTGATCAAGTACTAGTGCTCTCAATTTCCCGAGGCCGGATTATCTTACGTAGTAGGTGCATTCCAGGATGATTAGATTAGGAATGCTCAATTTGAAGTCTTACACGGACTTTACTTGAAGCTTTGCAATGTAGTGGCATTAAAATTGATCATAAGATGACCACGTGGGATGCCACCAATCCATGCATAACTTGGTAATATCAATCTCTAGTCTCAAAACATATCATACCAATTGCTTCAAGTCCACCGCTAGGCATGTATCATCAGACACATTTCGGTGATATCAATTTCCAAGACCAACCGACCTCATATTAACTTCATATTGACAAGGCGCATCACTTGTAAGATTCGGACAAACTCTCCAAGTTAGCGTTTGCACCCCTAGTGAGCTACACAGTCTTGTTGCCGAATTAAATTCGAAAGCTCAAAAGGAAGTCCAATTCAAATTGTGTTAACATTTGTTGAGGTCAACTCCAATTTTTTAGCATTCACAGTAGCTTTTAAAATCCATAGATAGAGTTGTATAGCTTTTAAAATGGGATGCCGTGGAATGATCATTCGAACTTTCCAAGCTAATTGAATGCATAAGTACCTTCGATTTCCAAAAGATCAATTCACTTTTTTTTTTTTTTGCCTCATATCCACCGCCCCGGTCAAGCGTATAATATTTCCAGGCCGAACCAGAAACCAATTGCTATCGAAGCATTCCAGGTAGAATTTGAAATCCGTTAGGATTCTATTAACTACGCATAACAAATTCTAATCAACCGAGCATGATGTCGTGAAGCCGAACTGATGTCAGAATCATAACTGACATTAAACACGAGTTCCCCATATCTTCACAAATTGATTTCAAACAATAAAGCTCGCACGGCTCCCTTCTCGATTGCACATGAGGTTACTTCCTCCCAATGTCCTGACAACAATCCATATAGGATTAGAAGTTTACTCCTATCCGAATTGGAACCACCTTTCATCCAGATTTTCCTCGGACCCAATCGCAGTGCTACTGGTATAAATAATCAAGATTATAGCCGTGCGTTCACTCGCGAGAAGCCTAGAGACAGCAATAATAATTTCCCGCTATTGCCGAGTTGCCGTGTCCCTGCTACCGGAGTTTCCCCATGCAAGTGTCATTCTCATGCTGTAACTGACCTAGAGGACTCCGAATTGGACTTGGATTCCATTTGATGGAGTCCTAATAAGCGTGCATAATTCCCGAGGCAAAGCCTTCTTGCGCGAACCAAAAGGAGTCACTTGACCTGCTCTTATCAACGGAGGATTTAAGAGTGAAGACAACCCATGAATAAACAATAATTCCACTTGTGTTGGGACTTGAATTCCTGCCGACCTTCAGTGAAGCTCTCCGCTATAAAACTCTCAAGGCCAAAGTTACAAATCCACAACTTCCCCAGAGAGCTTTGGAACTCCAGTTGCTGCCCTTTTTTCACGCCTTACAGTTTACCCAGCAAGAGTAGCCGCTATTTTCTTTGTTCGCTGTTGCCGCTCCTTCGCTGCTTGTAACCCGAAGATCGCTATCCAAGATTGCTGCGGTTATTAGAGCCAGCGTTTACTGCTACTAGTGTGGAAGTCTCGTTGCTAACGTCGCATCGATTTAGAGGTGATTATCTCCAATCTTTGTTCATCCTTCATGGATATTTATACTTGTGACATAGAAATCACTTTGCATGCCAGATGCGGAAGCTTTTGCGCCATTGGCTTGTACGCATGTTTCGATTATTTCCGGAACTTTGCATAATATGCAAACATAACTTGTTTTTGATTGGCTTGTCCAAATTGTAACCTCTTTATCCATTATTTGCGAACATCCCATCTCCCTTTTACCTTTTATTGTCAGGTCTAGCTTCAATAGGAACTCGGTATCCCGCTCAAGGAATTAGGAATTCAGCCGCAAGGTAGCTTGACTGCCCAAATTGGTTCCTCCTTTTCATTTTGTTTTTGTTTTTGTTTTTGTTTTTGTTTTTATCTTTTTTTTGTTCTCATTTTGTTTTTTTGTTTTTTTGTTTTTTTGTTTTTTGTTTTTTTGCTCACTTGCTAGGATAATACCAAATATAATATTTGAACCCCCCTTTTTCCCTTAACACTAAATATGATATTTGAGCAAAAGTTTTTTTTTTTTTTTGCTTTGCTTTGTTGTTTTTTTTTGCTTTGCTCATTTACTAGGTAATACCAAATATGATATTTGAGCCTCTCTCTTTTTTTCCACCTATGAGGGTAATACCAAATATGGTATTTGAGACCTTTTTTTTTTTTTTGTAATATGTTAACTTCATCAACTTGTTTTCTTGTAGGTAGCCAAAATCACACTTGGGGGGGAGTTCCAAGAAATTTCGGCGACTTGAGAAAGGGACCACCAATTAGGTAATTTAACTACCAAAGTTTCGCGAGAACTTCTTTCACCATCTAATCTCGTTTGCGAAATTTCAGCAACCATGCAAATTAAGGACTATGCCACGCCACTGCCCCATATCTCATTGACGGATGAAAGGGGAGGAACTCAATCAAAGAGCTTGTCACTACATGTTTACAAACCAGCAATCGGCCCGCTCGCTGAATCCTTCATACCCCTCGAAGGATGCTTTCATCTCGAAGATTGGACTAGCAAGTGGACCAAGGAAGTGGTGGCACCGTCGACTTTCTCCACTACATCGAGGGAAGAAGAAGTGGTCGTATTAAACTCGTCACTTCACAATGGAGATCCAGAAATAGCCAAATTCACGCTTCCGTTCGTGGGCTTCAATGTTGACAAAGCTACATGGAAAACCCCTTCGTCCTTCTTTGGTGAGGCGTGCTTCACTTTTCATTATTGGGAGTGGGTTGAGAACATGCTTGGAAGGTATAAAGACGTACTCACACGTGCTGGCATATTTGAAGCCGTCTACGCGTCGAGATACTCCTACGACCGCTGTGAAAATATCTTGCGAGCCTTCTTCAAATATTGGTGTCCCTCGACGAACACACTTCATACGTCCGTTGGGGAGTTGTCCATCACACTTTGGGACCTTTATCGACTTGGTGGCCTTTCAATCGATGGCACGTTTTTCGATGAAGTTGTTCCTTCGGCGCGGGAACTCCTCACTCGTGACAAAGAAGGGAAACCACTTCTTCCTGAGAGTTGCAGGCATCTTTTTTCGGCTTACTACCACCTCTGGACGAATGACCAAGGGGTATGGATGAAGGACTGGATTCGCTTCTGGTTCAAAGGAAAGGCTAGGT